CTACCTACCTACCTACCTACCTACCTACCTACCTACCTACCTACCTCTACCTACCCACCCACCCACCCACCCACCTACCTGCCTACCTACCTACCTACCTACCTACCTACCTACCTACCTACCTACCTATACCTGCCTACTTACCTACCTACCACTTATGTGCATGCATGCATACGTACATGCATATGTACATAAACACTCATACACATACCTATACATATACATCCGCATATACTCAAATACCTACACCTGCTCATACAGCCAGACAGCCAGACGGCCAGCCAGCCAGACGGCCAGCCATCCAGCCACACAGACATACAGCCAGACAGACATGTCATACCTACCTGCGTGTGTATGCACTCGCATACTTAAACATGCCAGCATCGGCCTACGATCAGACGAATAATACGTCCAAACTATTACAAACTCATGCAGAAAGGTCCGGACATGGATGGACAGAGAGAGAGGTAAGCCGTACATTCACAATCAAGCTAGTGGGACTCTCACTGGGATAGGTTCGTCCTGAACAGTCCAGTTTTGCGCGGGCTTAGACTGAGACAAATCCCAAATTGTCAGCAGCTGCAAGGGCCAACCACTTCCGGGAAAGCGGCATGGCCGTTTGTGTGCCCCGGAGGAAGTTAATAGTTGTGTGTGCGCTGAGACCAGACGACATGCACGGATGCCCGGTTCAATTTATGTAGTGAGGCTTTTGCTGCCTCCAAGGCGTATGTGTTAAATCGAGAAGAGTTTCATCAGACTCGAACATTGGAGCAGCCAGCCAGAGCACGCAGCCCGGGTTCGGAACGTAGAGGCAACTCGCAGCACCCATGCTCGAGTGGGTGCAGCCGAAACGGCCTTCATGCGCAGTGTCTGAGCTTTGGGTTTCAAAAGTCTCGGCGTGGATTGGCATTGGGGATTTCCGGACCTTGTTTCCAACGAGTCAGCATGCCACCTTTTGTGCCATCTCTAAGGCGAGTGAAGCCCACGCTGATACATCAAGGAAGGCTGAAACCAACTACAAGTTTCGGCAAACTCAAAATACGCAAGCTTTAGGCAGGCTGAGAAGCGAGCTGTTGCGGAATCGCAGCCCAGGCCTGGGATGATCCTGGCCGCTTGACTTGGAGAATGGCAGGGGCAGGAGTTGTCCCTTGCTGCTTTCTCCGCCAAGGATGGTTCGGTATGTACAACCAGCAGCAGTGCCTCGTCTCAAGCTGCCACAACCTTCGACCGTGAGCCGCAACGCGCAACGCGAACCGAGGCTGGGACTGCACAAGCAGGTTGTGACGCCCTACCAGTGAGGCCCCGAGGTGTGCATCCGGTGGATCGGATTTTTGCGCCTGTGCTCAAGGCACGAGGCCAGTTGTTTAATTTTATCGATTTGATGGGCTGGGCAAAGCTCCGAGAAGTTTGTCGGTGATCTGACAGGACATCGAACAGTCAAGGACAATCTTCCTCTGATCCTTGCTCGAAGATCTGGCGGAAGTATTCCTGTCAAGTCCCTGCAAACGGAACTTTTTTCTAGCCGATTCTAGCCTGTCAAGCCTTGCAGCTGTCACCTCTGCAGACATCCGAAAGGACTTTGCGGGGGTCAAAAAAATGGCCGTCTGCCATGCCTGTCTGTGCATTTCTCTTCGAGGCCTCACCGAGGCATGCGGATGCACGTTCCGATTGTCAACCTGTGACAGAACTGTCATCGTCGAGTCGTTGCGTGCTCGAATCATAGCGGGCACTGCGTCCCAGGCTCCGCAACACCTTCGACCAGACCGACTACGCCGCAGGGTTGCAAAAAACAGACTGGTTCAGATATCAAGGAAGCGTGTCCTAGGGAGGATTTTTTCGACCGAACTGCATGCCAAACGGCGTGCTCCAGTATTGCCATGAGGAAGCAGCACAGTCATGGGTCACGCCATATGTAGGATGTTCATGGCCCGTCCAACAGCTTCTCTGCCTACATGGTGGTGGCGCATAGCCGCGCCTACTGTTTTTAAGGCTATGAGAGCACGAAAACACTGGGTAACGCGATAGATCGTGCATGTAGGGTTCAACAGGGGCTTTGGGACAAAACTGCTAGGTTTGGTTCGGAAGTACAAGCACTCGTAGCTTCAGTCCTTGAGCACAAGTCCCCAGTGGTCAAAACCTGACTGCTTGAATGCCGTTTTTTGTGGGGCTGCTTTGAGGATCCTTTTGGGCTTGCTTGCACATAGCTTGAGCGTAAGGCGAAAGGGTTGAGGGATTAGGGAGTGGTTAGGCGTCTGCTGCGGAGCAACCGTGCAAAGAGCATTGGCTCCCACAGGTGTAATTACGCTGTTAGAGAATGCAGCAGAAAACTGCAGCGTCATCAGCAGCATCGTCATCATCGGCACAAACAAGAAGGATGAGCTGCATCACCATGCCCGAATGCAGAGTTTCCGAAATGCCAGAAGAAACAGATTTCCCGAAAGGACCAGACGATCGCCGAAAATCCGAAGACCTTGAAACCCGAAACCCTCGCAAATACCGAGAAAAGGTCGAAAGTAAAGGAACACACAGGGGTGTATATGCGCCACGGTCCACCTACATGTCCTTATCCTCTTGTGTGCTGAAGGTGCTAGTGCCATCATCTAAGCGCTTTGGAGTGCCCATTGGGCCCACCTTGCCGTACGGTTTGCTACGAAGGCCATCAACACCGGCGCCAGCTCTGAGCCGGTCTCAGTTGTCGCCTTGAATGTTTGGATGTGCGTGATTTGCTGTCCGTCGTAGTCTTTGTTTACGTCCTAGCTGCACTAGGTCCTGCCCGAAGGCTTACTTCGTTGTTGCTCAAGTAAGCCAAGGGGAGGTCACTGGCCCCTGTAGCAACATCTCTGCTAGGATGGATGGCCGCGTCTCTCAGACTGGCGGAGGCCCAATGTTGCCGCATCTGCAGCGGCTCGCGAAGTTTCTGAGAGAGCCAGAGCTAAAGCCGCTAAACAAAGGAGTCGGAGCCCAGGCCACCCAGGCCTTGCAAGGCCTTGCCTAAGATTCTCTGATCGATTTTTTTCGGAGGCTCGGCTCGTTGGAGCGACGGCGAACGGAGGCCCGATCCGGAGGCCGCTATTGGGCCCCGGCCCCGCCTCTGCTTTGCGCTGTGGCAGGGCACCACCTCACCAAATGATGGGCGACAACGGCCGGGGTCTTCGCAAGCGCCGAGCAAGCGCCGAGACAGACTCAACCCGGGAGCCAGAGAAATGCTTGAAGTAAGTAGCTGCATGAATCAAGAAATTGTACGGCTAAAGCGTCTGGGTGTGTCTGCAATGGCTGGCTGCCTAGGCCAAGTCGCGAGCATGTACTTGCAGGACACCGACCCCGACCTTGGACCTGACTCGAAATAGACCCTTTCGAACTTTTTTTGATTGCCATCAACCGGGATCAGCGACACAAGTGGATCTCAAGACTCAGAATGGTTACTGCAACCTGCAAGGTTTTTTGATCGGGTTGCGTTGAAGTCTGGAATTCAGCATGCACTGCAGCCGTTCCTGGAGCCAACGACAGTCTGAGCGCATGCAGAGCGAATAGATCTCCTTCGGCAGAGCTTGTCCTGCTGGTCCATGAGACAGTTGTGGGGTGAGTGTAGTGGGTTCTGTTGTGAGTCTATGTCAGTCTTACAGTCTCAAATAGGACGACAGAGAAACACGCATTGCTGGTTTCAGGAGCGAGTGCCTGAGACCTTCATCCTGCAGCGGATTCACGCGAGTTTGCCGGCTGGTGCGGATGCCCAGTACCTCTAGACAGGATCACAAAGCCTGGAGTCGAAGGCTTTATCCGTTGGGCAGCCCTCAAGGCTGTGCACCTACCAGGAGATGTCTGATTCTGTTTTTCTCACCTCACCTGCCTAGGCTGCTCCGATGTGCAGGCTTGGCTGCCTCTGTTCCATGTCTGGTTGTTGCAGATTCATGCTGACAAGGGGTACTGAAAAGAGTCGCAGCATAGCTCGGAATACGAAAAGATCAATAAGGGTCTTAACTGTGCCGGCAGTTCATGGACTCGGATCATGCCCCAGTCTGCCTTCGGCCAGGGCAGGTGCTGTCCGACCTCGCCTAGGCCGTGGGCTGCCATGGCGGAAAATCGAAAATGCACAGAATCCTTTTTTTAAAACTTCCACTGTCCGACCGTAGGCCGAAGGTGCAAGCGGCCGAGTGGTTGCGCTCCGTCAACCGCAGCTGCGCTCCTTGCCTGAGACAAAGCCAGTCTTCTCTCAGTCCTTCAGACTTCCGGGGCCTGCGCGGACGCCGCGTCGGCAGAGCATCGCTTAGTAGCGAAAAAAGGCTTCAGTTGTACAGTAGCGGCTCGACAGGCGAACTTGGAGGCGATGCTCAGCACCAAGCTTGATCAGCACAGCCAGGTACGCCTCCACGAGCTTGGTGCGAGGTAGAACTTCTGGAGGTCTGTGCTTTCATCCCTGCACAATCATTACGCACAAGTTGCGTGCCAAGACCATGTAGTGCCAACATGCTAATATATGTTAATCCCGCAAATTCGAGAACTTGAAGCCGTCCGACAAGAGTTTTCTGACCTCAGCCTGAGCTGATCTGAGCTGCCTGCTAGGTCTGCCTGGATGAGGCGGGAGCTTCAGATCAGGGTCTCATGGTCTTGCTCAAAGCTTGGGACGCCTTATTGCGTGTGCAGGTGCAAGCGATCGAGGCAGCCGACACCGGCGAGGACGGGACATACGTGCTCAGTGGCGTGCTCCGCACGCTTCCCTTGCCAGTGAGCGGCCGTGAGCTATTCGCATGACGAGTAAGCTGCTCTAAACACTGCCGGAATCGGAAGGCCTCGGCTGAAGCTTCTAAGTTCCGTCAGTTTCAGTCTGTCAGGAGCCCGACGTGTTGGAGCTGCCGACGCGGAGCATTCCTCCCAACTGCCGCCGCTCGGGCCGAGCTCTGGGATCGTCTCCGGGGTGCGGTTGCAGAAAGCTTTGAGGCTTTCCCCTGTTGAGGAGGGGCTTCGGAGGCTCCTCAGTGCTTTCGTTGAGGGAAGCTTCGCAAGGAACCGAGGACTACCTCCGAGATCTTCGACACATTGTTCGATTGGTCAGCACGGGCCTTGAATCCGTGAATGATGTACGTTATATTTGCGCACAGGAGCGAGGAGGCCAGCGATAGTTGTATTTGCAGCAAATGTTTCGATGTAGCTCTTTGGAGCCTTGACTTTCTGCAAGTGCGCTCCGGCACGATGCTATGTAGATGTAAACCGATCTCAACATAGAACTCAATGCAGAACGTTTATGCCAAGGTCCTGGATTACCAGCAGCTGCAAGACTGTTTGCCACTGAGAGGGATCCTTTGCATGAATCCGACCGCAACTGAGCTCGGCGAGCCCTGAAAGCAAATAGACGAAGTTAGCGGTTTGTGAGACAGGAGTCAGAGCCTCTACGAACCTGTCTAAATGTCTATCCCTTGACTGTAACATTTAACTAGCGCAGCGGATGTGACTTCCCCCCGTCGCTGGTTAAAGATGTCGGTGCCTGTGCAGACCGCATGCCTCGGGCAGCGGCTCAAAGCCGAGTGCTTCTGCTCAGCTCAGGCTCGAGGGTGTCGTGAAAGGTGTCGTCAGGATCCAAGTTTACGCTAAACTGTCACCGTGGACTCTGCGGACGATTCTTGAACATCCAAGCCGTCATCCAACCTACTTCTGCCCTACTTGTCTGTTAGACTTTCTCACCCGAACAAAGACATGCAAGCCGTCCGAAAGCCAGAGGTGATGGCCTTTGATGCCGAGCTGCATGCGGTGCACCTGGAGCTTCACATGCGCAAGGCCGAACGAACGCTTCCGCCCACCTGCGGGTGTTTCCTGATGCTACTGGTATCTTTTTGTGCGCACCTCGTCTGCAATAATCGTGCAGTTAGTGCACGAAGCTTTTGCTTCTGCTTCGGTTGCAATTGATGGAAGCTACTCCTCTCGCAGAGTATGTCCAGCAAGGGCTCTGCTGACCTTTCGTTGGCTCACTGCAAGAGATGTTTTTTCAACAACTTCCGTGCAAGCCACATTCATTCCAATGCTCGATGTTGATACCCGTACTTTCCAGAGATCCGGAAGGGAAAGAGGCTATCAGGAGGGTGCCAGTGGGAAACATAGTGTTGTTTAGGAGGCCCCAGAAAATTCTCCAGGTGCGAATTCGTAAGACAGGTAACAGCTGATCCTGCAGCATGAGTGCCGCTTGGTACATGTCCAAACTGAGGAGTGTCCTGTTTTGCAGAGCTATCCTTCTGCGGGAAGCCTCGTGTCTGAAAAAGCATGTATGCTAAACTCGCGAACATGATCCGAGAGCTGCATGGGCCAGTTGCTGGCCAGACAACTTCCTGCATTGCAGGCCAACTTGGGCTCTTTGGATGAAGCTCGGGCGGAGATCGAGCAACTGAGGAGCGATCTGGAGCATGCAGACGCTCGTGCAACCTGCACTTGAGGCATCTTGAGGCAAGGGCCAAGGAGCGTTGCCCGGTAGGACTCGTTAGGACCGGGATGGACATGAAAGCACAGTGGAAAACAAAGACCAGAGGACGGAACTGGCAACCTTGCAGCAACAGAACAGCGACCTCAAGGCGGGGTGGGCCTCGAACTTGGGCGCTTGGACATGGTTTCTGCAATTTCGCTTTACTTGCCTCCTGTTGACGTTCAGAAGCAGCTGAACTCGGCGGACGATGTGAAACAGGCGGAGGCACATCTTCGTTTGCAGGTAGTTTTGCAGGAAACGACGTCGCCGGGCTGTCCTTCGGTACCTGGCATGGACCGGCTTGAACAACAGTTGCTCCATGGAGATTCACCGGTTCACAGCTTTGCCTGGTCTCAGATCCGGACCTACCAAGAGAAGGTGGACAAGCTCAAGGCAGTGGCTGATCCGAGCAGCATTTATGAGGATGAGGTGCAATGGTGCCACCTCACGACTCACAGGTTGTTCCCCCCAAGCACGGGCCTGTATGCTTCGGGAATTTACAAGTGCTGTGAGATCCGTACCGGAAGACAGGACGAGCTGGGCCGCCTTCATCCAGATGATGCGCCTTGGCTGAACAGCATCTTCGGGGTTTGGCGATGCTACAGCGACTCGTCATGGGGTCGGTCTTTTGCGTGTTTCTGTCTCGGCCCGGCGTGCTTGTGTTCAAGTTTTCTGCGATATCTGATTTTTTGCCCACAGGGCTCTGTGGAGGGGGTGGCGCACATCATGGACAAATGCCTGGCTCTGAGCGTTGAAATGGTTGCTGCAATGCCAAGGACTGTTATATTATATAAAACAAATATATATGTAAGTAACGCTTAGTTATACAAGGCAAATGAAAATACGGAACCCGTGTTCTTTTTTTTGTTGTGGGTGCTTTTTTG